CTACCAAACAGAGCTTGAGGCAAGAAGCTCAACCCTCAACCCTCAACCCTCAACCCTCAACCCTCAACCCTCAACCCTCAACCCTCAACCCTCAAACCTAAACCCTAAACCCTAAACCCTAAACCCTAAACCCTAAACCCTAGGTAGGCCCTGCAAGGAGGACCTTGGCTGTGGGGAGATCTTCGGAGCCCACCAGGGCGGCTTGGGCGGCGCCTTCGGCGCGTTGCGTCTTTGACTCTCTGCGTCTTCCTCGGAATACCTGTTTAGGGTTTAGGGTTGAGGGTTTAGGGTTGAGGGAACCTTAAACTTGGGTTCATATATACTACTCTAGTTCCTATTGAGGCATTATGAACCCTAAACCCTCCTAGGGTTCATTTCGTCCCCTTATAGGTGAGAACCGGGCCTCTGCACATCCCGCCATGGTGGCTTGTGCTTCTCCTTCGGTACTTTGCACGTGTCGCTCTCGGTGTCTTCCTCGGAGTAAGCGCTGGCTTTCCGCCGCGCTGGCATCCGAACAGAGTGGCTGGTTTTTCTCCTCTTCGCCGTTTCGCCCTTTTGGGCCTGCTCCTCTGTCCTAGGTTGTTCCAGGCTAGAATTAAAATGGGTGCCCGCTTTTGCTTAAAGGGGCTTCTTCAAGGGAACCTGAACCCCCCCCAAAAAAAGGGTACCACCGGGCATCCTAGTGTCTCATCCTCGGAATAGGCTTTGGCTTTTCGCCGTGCTAACGGAGCTGACGAAGTGTGACTAGCAGGTATTCGAGATGCCTGGTTTCCTCCAGAGGTGGTCCACGCGGTCCTCTTCGCCTCTTCCGTGGCTTGGCCCTTTTCGCTCAGCGAATCGTCCTCGGAATAGGGCCGTTTTGACCTCTTCCCTGGCATCCGGTCTCTGTCACCGAAGCGCTTCTCGTGCTTCTTGGTAGCATCTTCCCCCAGTGACCTCGGTGTCGGTGAGCTTCGAAGCTGCAACTCCCCCTAGTGCTTCTTCCGGTCTGTTTGCCACCAGTCTAGCCATGCTCCACGGGGCAACTGTAGAGAGAATGCTTTGAACAGAGCACTTTCCGGGTTTAGGGTTTAGAGTTTAGGGTTTAGGGATGCATATTCTGAACTGCAACCCACTGACTAATCCCTGACCCCCCCTAGAAGCCCTGAACCAAGACCCCCTTTAAGCTTCGATGTTACGAGGCCCCAACGCCCAGACCCGGGAATCATAGAGTCATAGAACCCCTCTGTGTCATGGAAGGCCAGGCGTCCCCCACAGTTCAAGGTTCCACCCAAGATTCCTGGCTACTTTTCTGGCAGTTCTAGGATCAATGCCCAAAGCATTTGCTCCAGACCCACCCCTCCCTCACCCCCTTAGCCTTGCGAGGCCCTCCTCCAAGGCCAGACCGCCGGAAGAAAAAACAAACCCTAAACCCTAAACCCTAAACCTTAAACCCTAAACCCTAAACCCTAAACCCTAATAAAAACACCCGGCGAACATTGGCAAGCCAGGCCGCCCAAGACCGGGAAATGAATGGACTCCGCACTGGAGGTTCAGGGTACTTAAAACCACAATTTTAACTGTACTTATACGTCCCCAAAGTCCCCAAAGAAGTAGACTTATACTTGGGGTTATAAGTGCCCATGAGCCTTTTCGTCTTTTCAATCTGACAATTACTCATTTTGTGGTGTTAGAAGTGCTTTTCCCTGAAGAGTATATGATTGGTACAAAAGGGCTAATATTGATTGTGGTTGGTCTTTTTCGATAATTAAAAGAGAAGGAAATGCTGGAGCCTATATACAGATCTTAATATTCTCTGATTTCGAGCTCTTATTAACATAGGGGCGGGAAAAAGGTTTACAATGCATACGACATGCGTCCAAGTGGCTTGTAGCTTTCCGTCACTCTTCCGGCCGATGACGACGACAGCGGGCGCGTCTCGGACGACAATTTGCAAGTGGCACAGCGGTGGTCTTTTAGCTCCGCCCGAGCGCTGAGCTTCTGCGCAGCTTTGCTGGTGGCCTCCGGAGGCAATGGGTCCTGCAGCACGGGCACGCTGGTCCCCATCGATTTCCATGAACACATACAGAGTGGATACTTAATCGACGAAAGGCACCCGAGAATTCCCTTGTCATATTTGGACCATGACGCTCAAGTGACCATGGCCCATTTCAGCATGGCCATGGAAAAGCCCCCGCCTCGTCCATCCCCACCTTATATCGACTAATTGAGACCTAACAAACTTTCATATTGCTGGTTTCGTAGTGCCGTATTGCAGGCTATGTGATCCCTCAAACAAGGAAACCTCCCACCCATCTCCTGCCCAACACAACTCGGGACGCCACGGGTCCTCCTTAACGCATGTTGCGGGACTGATTTAGATGCGAGGAAGCCCGGAAACCTAAACATGGACCAGAAATGATTTTTGGTTGATTCGGACGAAGCGTCTTCTCTCAGGAGAACCCCTATTAATGCCGCTGCAGTTCTCAGACCCTGAAAACTCGGTATTCCCCAGATAACCATAGGGCTAGGATCTCTGAGTCTGGCCTGCGGCTGTGTCGGCTCCGCGCGTGCAGTGTTGACTTTCGGTTGCCGGAGTTCGCACTTCTGTCCTTAGTGCAAGCCGTAATTAACGTTATAGGACCCAAAGCCTCCTTATTACTGTCATAATCACAGGGCTTCTTCAGAAACGAAAAGGCGTCATAACCTGACGAAGCAGAGCATGCAGACACGATATGCCCACCCCGAACCTGGACCAATGGCCCATCAGAAAAGCGTGGGGGGGTAGGGCGGGACGCGTGTACCACAAGGGCTGGGCGCATCAATCTTGTGCTCCTTTGGGATGCTTGGACTTGCTATGGGCTTTTGAACATGTCAATATAAACGCTCGCCATCCTTAAACGAAGGTGGGACCTACCAAGAAACTTCTTCAACTTCGTGGACCAACTAAAAAGCCCAAAGCTTTCGATCCACATGTCGTAAGAGGAAAAATAGCAGTTCAGGCTATACAACCAATACCATAAAGCTTGCTCCCCACGGAATACGGAATGCCCAGCCACCATGACCCTGGGCGTGGGTGCAGCGTATCTCGTACCTGGCCGGGGCATCTTCAGATCGAGGAAAAAGAGGGGTAGTGTGTGTGTGTGTGTCTCCATGTCTGTCTGTGTGTGTGTGTGTGTGTGTGTCTCTGTGTCTGTCTGTCTCTGTGTCTCTGTGTCTCTGTGTCTCTGTGTCTCTGTGTCTCTGTGTCTCTGCGTCTCTGTGTCTCTGTGTCTCTGCGTCTCTGCGTCTCTGTGTCTCTGTGTCTCTGTGTGTGCGTGTGCGTGTGCGTGCGTGCTTGCTTGCGTGCGTGCGTGCGTGCGTGCGTGCTTGCTTGCTTGCTTGCTTGCTTGCGTGTGTGCGTGCGTGCGTGCGTGCGTGCGTGCGTGCGTGCGTGCGTGCGTGCGTGCGTGCGTGCGTGCGTGCGTGCGTGCGTGCGTGCGTGCGTGGGTGTGTGTGTGTGTGTGTGTGTGTCTCTGTGTGTGTGGGGACTCTCAGGGGTACCATGATTCAGGTCATTGCGCGTGCTCGACTGCTAACCCTAAACCCTGAACCCTGAACCCAAAACCCAAAACCCTAAACCCTGTTCAGGGAAGCCGGAGCCTGACATGGTTGGCGTAGCAGCGCTTGCAGCAGAAGCCCCCGAACTCCGCGGCCGTCACCAGGTAGTTGCAGTGCTCATTGGCGCAGAGCAAGCCCACTTGCGACATTCAAGCGCCGCATGGGACAAGATGGAATTCTCCTAACTCCCCTGTTCTTAGTAGCCTTATAGTAAGTCCCTCTGCAAGTAACCTTAAACCCTAAACCCTATAAGCCCTAAAGGACGGCGTTAGGTGTACTCTACCTGTCTAAGCACCAGCCAAAGGACGTGGCAAGCTGGCTCTAAGTATCTACCTGCAGTTTAGTAGCAAGTACACCTGAATTAGTAGGTACAACCCATACAAAGTGTAGGTAAAAGAGTCGCAGGTACACTCCTTGTTAAACCCCATAAACCTTGCAAGGGCGCAACTAGCGAGTCCACAAAGACATCAGGCTGTTCAGGTCGGGTTCAGGCCTGCCCAGACGCGCTACCGGGTTTTTGCGGCAGCAGCGTGCTATGATGCGGCGCTTAATGGCTGCTTCAGGGCGGAACCCGAAACACACACATAGGCGTGCATTCTTGGGCGGCAGCTGGGGCCCTAAATCCTACGAACCCTATTCTTATGAGACCTATCCAGCGCTGTAAAGACCTGTAAACCCTAAAGTTTAGGGTTTAGGGTTTAGGGTTTAGGGGTTTAGGGTTTAGGGTTTAGGGTTTAGGGTTTAGGGTTTAGGGTTTAGGGTTTAGGGTTTAGGGTTTAGGGTTTAGGGTTTAGGGTTAGCAGACCCCAACGCAAGGATCCCGCTGGGCCTTCATCTAGTAGCAGCATGCTTTCAGTGGTCGCCCCATCAGCACAGGCACCCCAAAAAAGGAACCCTTATTTTGGGTGGAAAGTTTTTTCCTAAAAGCCTGAAAGCCCCCAAACTCCGAAACCCCTAAACCTCTAAACCTGTTGCCTCTGAACCCAGAAACCCTTGAACCCCTCAACCCTACGTATGACCATAGGAGCCACCAAGGGATCGCAATTAACAGAGCGGGTCGTGTGGGTGCTTGTCACTACAGGGGCCAAACAAGTCACCAACATAAACTCCGTTTGCAATTCCTTCAAAAAGCATAAGCTACCCAAAGCACCCCTTCAAGCGAAATAGGTCCCTATGTTCCTTTACTTCCAGCGGCCTCAGAACAATTAGGTAGCTAAAATTTTGAAGGGCGCACTAAACCCAAACCCCAAACCCCAAACCCTAAAACCCCTAAAAACCCTAACAACCCTAACAACCCTAACAGCCCTAACAGCCCTAACAACCCTAAAAACCCTAAAAACCCTAAAACCCCTAAAAACCCTAAAAACCCTAAAAACCCCTAAAAACCCTAATCTTTCACCCTGCAATGCTGGGTCTGGCGCGGCCAGGGCCCACTGACGCTGCGAGAGCAGAGAGGCTCAGCATCGCCCACAAACCTGGGCCGCAAGGGGTGTGGGTTTAGGGTTTAGGGTTTAGGGTTTAGGGTTTAGGGTTTAGGGTTTAGGGTTTAGGGTTTAGGGTTTAGGGTTTAGGGTTTAGGGAACCTACATGGACCCCCTTAATATGGGACCCTAAAGCCGAGCAGGACTTGGGGGTCTGCTACCTGAACTCGAGAGCCTGGGCCCCAAAACTCCCTGAACCCTGAAGCAGATCTGTCGTCGATCTCCCTGGCCCCGAAACCCTGAACCCTATCAACCCTAAAAAACCATGTGAACCTTAGAAACCCTATAAACCTTGCAAGCCTTATGCGAAAGCTTACAAACCCTATAAACCCCGAAACTAGAACTTCAGACCCAGGGGGCTCATGAAGCAACCTCTTCTGAACCTTGCGGGCCGTCTCCAGGAGGTGTTGGATGTCACCCCGGCCACTGCCTGCTATGATGGTCAGAGATTTTATGGTTGAGGCTTGCCTTCTTTAGGGTTAGGGTTTACAAGGTTTAGGGTTTACAGGCTTTCGGGTTTCGGGTTTTGGGGCTGAGAGGGGGGGGGGGGGGTATAGGGTTTGGCACTTGGAGAGCTGCAGCAACTGAGGTCAAGGGGGACTTGGGAGTAGCGAGTAGGAAGACACGGGACACAAAGGAGCTTTCTTTGGGTCTTGAGTTTAGGGTTAGGGTTTCGGGGTCAACGCCGAGCACCAAATCACCAGCATGGACGCATCTACGTGGTGCCTGTGGCACTGAGTGCCGACACTTGCGCCCAATTTGACAAACTTGTGAGAAACAAGCAATCAACGCCAAACGGTCACATCCGAACCTCCCAAGCAAGAAGCAACACGACTATAAATGCAAACAGATATCAACAAGCAATGGTACCAAACTCAAGTTGTACATATTTCGGGACGCTCCCATCAAAACACCCTAGCTCCAAACCCTAAACCCCATAACCCTAAACCCTGTGCTCGAGACCCTCGTCTGCAATCGCCGACGCCAGGCTGGTCACGGCCCATTTGATGGCCTTGGGGTATTTCTGTAATGCCTTACGCTACTTGGAGGTTTATTGGTACATGTCAAAGCAGCATTATAATTCAGTAGGCAACGATGGTTGTAAGGGTACTTAGAACCCTACTTGTAAGTACCCAAATGAGCCTTCAAGCACTACCCCCCCCCCCCCCCTCTCAACTCCGCCCATGTACATGGGCCCCAAGGCAATATGAATATGCATACATTAAAAAATATGCATGTGTATATATACATACTTACTTATTCACTCATTTATGTACTTATGTATTTTATTGATTTAGAAGTATGTGTACATGAAGAGAGGCGTTCGCTCCCGAAAACCCCAAATCCTACACTCGTGTTTTGCGGCCTTGGAGGTTGACGGTTGCTTTTCGGGGCTTGTAGGGCTTCTTTCTTGAAACAAGGCTGAGGCTGCCGTCAGCCACGCATGCGTAGAGAAGTTTTAGGGTTTGTGTAACTTAGGTATCCTAAGGCTCTTGGGCCCTCAAGACCCCAGGAATTGAGTCCCCAGAGCCCTCCTTGAGAGGCACCATTCCATCTGTAGGAGGGTCCTTGGAGCCTTAAGGTAGAATTTGAAGCAGTTGGGGAGGATATGTCAATCATGACAATCGTTTGCAGGCCTCGTCAGCACGTCTGGTTGCTGCATCACCGACATCGTCCTCAGCTCTCTGATCATGTCCCACCCTGCTCCCCGAAGCCCCTAATTGCAGGCCGAAGTCCAGATAGAACCCCAGCCAATAACCCCGCAATGGCAAGGCCTTTATAACAACTCCCATTCTGAACCTTTCAGAACATAACCCTCAAAAACTACAGCGCAAAAACCCCAAACACTTTGCCTCGGGTCTGCCACAACGGATGCAAGAAGCAAAACACCGACCAGCCCAGCTTTCTGCGGAAAAAAAACGACTTAGGAAGCCCCAAAAACCCTCAAAGCTCTAGAGCCTGAGTGCTTCGGGTGACTATCATAGGCGTCCACTCCCCCAAAACCCTTGAAACCCTAACCGTTTTAGGGTTTAGGGTGTTAAGGGTTTGGGTTTAAGGGTTTGGGTTCAGGGTTTTAAGGGTTTGGGTTTAGTTGTCATTTTAGAGTTAAAGGGTTTCGGGTTAAAGGTTCACACAAATTTGACCCCCCTCAACCCAAGACCTTATTCCCTAGTCTCTGGTTTCGGGGTCGGGGCTTGTGGATGCTCATTGTAGGTTTTGTAGTTTCGAGCTCAAGGATTCAAGGGTTCCTAGCATTCCATGGCCTAGCTAGAGGTGCTTATTCGGCCTTGAGGGATTCTCTGGATACGTGTTTGCGAGGGCACGAGTATCTCCGACTTGCCTTAAACCCAAACCCATAAAACCCAAAACCCAAAACCCACCTGGCAGGTCATAGGGCTTATAAGGTTTAACAACCGCCATCTTGTCCTTGCAAAGAAGATCTTGCATTTTGGGGGCGTGCCCTTTAAGCAAACGGTTCAACAAAACCGTGCAACCTTAAAGCCCCAAGGCTAAAACACGAAAGCCCGAAAACCCTAAAACCCTAAAAGCCCTAAAAACCCAAAATTAACCTTAAAACCCGGAAAACCCGAAAAAGCCCTAAAAACCCTCCAACCCTACAGTGGCTACAACCCTACAACCCATTGGGCGCAAGGGGCGGGAGCCATGAGGTCGACTACATCTGCCGGTGATGGGACGATGGATCCCAACCTTTGGCCAGAGAAGGCTATGAAGGGTTTCAGGGGCCTTCAGGGCCTTGAGGGGCTTTTAGGGGCTTTAAGGGTTTGTAAGGGCTTAAAAGGGTTTAGGGAGGTAAAGGTTCTAAGGTTTTTTTTGAGGGATTCAAAGGTGTTTAGGGTGCAGAGTTGTTTGGGACCGTTCTTCCATAGGGTTTTTCTAGCGTCCTTAGGAGTCGCTTTTTGATTTAGATTTTCGACTTTAGAAACAAGCTTCGGATTGGGGAGGTCTGTGCAGAAACCCTAAACCCTAAAACCTAATGTTGTATCCTGATTAGTGTGCTCCCCCGGAATTGTGGAAAACATCCAAAAACTATTCAGGGGGATCTATTTGAGGAGGACCCCCGGAATTGTGAAAAAAAATCGGGCGATGCAAAATTTCGGCGGCGAGGCTGTCGAATGTTGTCGTCCATAAATCGCTTCTGAACCGAGCCTGAGAGACCAAAGACCAAAAGTTTAAAGACTGAAACCTCGAGGCCTGAGGTTGTCGGGCCCTGAAATCTTCAGTCTCCAGGCCGGGCCCAGGGCTAAGATTTCCTTATTAAATTCTTTTGTACCGAGGCCGGGCAATCAAATTTCAAAGGGGGTAGTCCAGCAGCTGCCCGGATGCCGTATAATATAAAAGTTTGCTCCCCCGGAATTATATTTTTTTTTGCGGGCTAGTTGGGTTTGGATCCAGAGGCCTAAGGGCTGAGGTTTCCTAAACCTTGAGGCCTGAGGTTGTCGGGCCCTGAAATCTTCAGCCTCCAGGCCAGACCCAAAACTAAGATTTCCTTATAAAATTCTTTTGTACCGAGGCCGGGCAATCAAATTTCAAAGGGGGTAGTCCAGCAGCTGCCCGGATGCCGTATAATATAAAAAGTTTGCTCCCCCGGAATTATATTTTTTTTTGCGGGCTGGCTTGGTTGGGATAGATGGATCCCCTTTAAATTCATATAAACTCATCCCTCTTAAAATCGTATGGATCCCTCTTAATTTCATATAGTCTCACCCCGTTTAGAATCATATGGATCCCTTTTACACTCATACGAGCTCATCCCTTTTAAAATCATATGGATCATATGGATCCCTTTTAAATTCATATAAACTCATCCCTTTTAAAATCATATAAAACCAGACCCCCCCCCCCCCCCAAATTGCCCCCCCCCCCCCCCCCCCTCTAAAGAGCGGGATCCTTTCGTTGAGGGGGGGGGGGGGGGCCACACTAATCAGCAGACAACATTAAACCCTAAACCCTGATGTATATGCACTCGCCTCGATCTCCAACCGCGATGCACGCCCGACATGAGGGCAAAGAGCTGCCAGCCCGACCCCAGCACCTTTCTTAGGGCGCTGGTAAAAGGGTCAGAGGGCTTTTTTGGGGGGCCAGAAGAGAGGGTTTAGGCAGCCTTAAGGCTGTAGAGGCTGCTTTTATGGGGTGCTGCAGTCATGTGCCCCAAGCCCGGATAAGGATCAAGAAGAGACTACCACAGACAGTGGGAAGAAACGTTCCAAGGTGCCAGATGGGCATGCGCCCTTTGGGGCTGTGCTGCACTACCCTAAGGCGATGCTGCGAATAAGGGTCTAGGGCGTCCAGGGCTTAGGATACGGATCTCTTCGTCAGAAGTCCTAGAACGGCCCGACCCCACTGATCAGGAAAAGCACCCAAACCCAGTAAACTCCATGATCTCCGAAGACCCGTGCTTCCTGGGGTAAAGGGATTAGGGCAGAAGCGAAGCTTTCAAGCTCAACTCTACGGGCCGTGCCACCATCTCTCGCCACGGAAAGCGGAATGCAGCACACGCGCGCTCTGTTGAGTACCTTGGCAGCAGGGATGGGTGAACCCTAAACCCTAAACCCTAAAGCTCCCTCCTAAAAAACCCTAGACCTTAAGGGCAAGTAAGGCCTGGTGAAGCTTGCATGGTTGACGGACATGGCCCGCGAGCTTGCGAGTCTGCAGCCGCCATCTCTTTAGTAAATCAAGGGTGGTCGGTACAGTACTGGTTCTTGTGCTGTTTGGGACCCCGCCCCACCCTGACCACGCCGATCGACGCCATCCACTCATCCGGCAGATGGTCGGTAAGCAGAAGGACATCCACCGTCATGAGGCTGGTCCTGGGATACGCCGACTTCCGTGGCGGGGGGGGGGGGGGGGGTTTGGGGGCAAATGTTAGCCTCATGATCCTAAACCGACCAGGAGAACCTCCCAGACAAGTACAGCCTAGCTGGCAGACTGAGGCGAGGAGGTCAAAAGAGCCTGCGTCGTTAGAAGCCCGGAACGCTACTACATACCAGGATATTGAATATTTCGAGCTTTCTGGCGAGCTAATGATGCATCAAAGCCCCCCTTCATGATGGAACACTAACATAGAGAGAGAGAGGGAGATTCAGATGCTCAAGGGCCTGTTCAGACTCGTCACTAGTCTGTCGTTCGCTGAACCCGAACCACAAGGGTACATGTATCCAAAAAGGGGGGGGGGGGTTCAACAACCCAACAATAATTTGAAAAACCCTAACCCTAAACCCCAAACCCTAAACCCTAAACCCTACACCCCAAACCCTAAAGCCTAAACTCTAAACCCGCACAAGCCTCGGGCCCTGGGTGCATCTTTAGCCCAAGGAGCAAGCCGAGGTTGCACTCCCGGATGGACGCATATCCTTGGTGCCCACAACTCCATGTAATGTCAAGTTGGGATAGGGTTTAGGGTTTAGGGTTTAGGGTTCAGGGTTCAGGGTTCAGGGTTCAGGGTTTAGGGTTTAGGGTTTGGGGCTGGGATGTTCCCCCTGATACTAGCAGTCCTCAATGGGGACAATAACAGGGGGTGCTATAATCTCGATTAAGGACTGTTAGTAAAAGGGGGAAACATCCCAAACCCAACATCCAAATTTATGAAGCCCGAAGCCCTGAACTCTCTAACCCCTAGCTAAACCTTGAACCCTCTCAACACCCCACGGCCTTCAGCCCACCCCCCCCCCCCAAAAAAAAAAAAACAAAAAAAAATCGGCTCTTGCGTTCAATAGGACACCACAGCCCTTGCGATGAGATCGGCTGCCATGGCTTTCAATTTGAAAGCGTATAAACCTCCATGAATGTCAAACCTCTAAGCCCCAAACACAGAAAGCAGGAACAAAAAAAAAAAAACTTTTTTGGCATGCCCCCACACTACGAAGCCTCTATGGCCCTCTCCCGACTCGGGTTCAAGTACGGTGGCTGGGTCGATGCCCAAGCTGCTTGCGTTCTCCTCCGCCGGCGTAGCTCCCACCCTCGCGTGACGCAACGCCGGTGTCAAAAAGAGACTTAGAGGCTCATTGGGCACGTCTAAGCGGGCTAAGAAGTACCCGATAAAACATAAAATACCTCATGGATACCCAGAAGTAGGTTATAGGTAGCCTATCAAAGGTGAAAAAGCAAGAAGTGCCCAAGTGAACCTCCAAGTAGCCCTAAACCCTAAACCCTAAACCCTAAACCCTAAACCCTAAACCCTAAACCCTAAACCCCAAACCTACGTTCGACCCTGGGGCCTGGCGGCGCGCTCCGCCGCGTCGTGGAGTCGGCGGTGCAGCCTGAAGTCCACGCGGCCGAAGTGGACCAGAGACTGCCTCGGCTTCGGACGCGGGTTTGGGTCTTTTAGGGTTTTGGGCTTGGAGTTTAGGATTTTAGGCTGAGGTTAAGGGTTTAGGGTTTAGGGTTTTGGGTTTTTAGGGTTCAGGGTTTAGGGTGTAGGGTTTAGGGTTTGGGCTTAGGGTTCAGGGCGATCTGGGAAGCTGGGTCTCAATCGTCTGATCCCTGTTGTGGGGGAGGGGGGGGGGGGAAGGAGGGTTGCTCTGAGCTACCCTATTTGGCTTCCAGTCTCGGCTCCTTTAAACCCTGAAGCCAAAAACTATCAGGGCTTATAGGTTTCTAGGGTTTGATATCGTTTTACAGGCTTTTATAGTGTTCATAGGGTTTATAGTCTTAGGGTGTACAGGGTCGCTAGGGTTCATACGGCTTTTCTAGGGCTTATAGGGCTCTAGGGTTGTTTGGGTTTAGGGTTTAGGGTTTAGGGTTTAGGGTTTAGGGTTTAGGGTTTAGGGTTTAGGGTTTAGGGTTTGGGGTTTGGGGTTTAGGGTTTAGGGTTTAGGGTTTAGGGTTTAGGGCAGCCCCAGGGGCGCCAGCGTGGCCAGGTCCGAGCGCAGCTCCGGCCACGGGAGCTGCGGCGTGCTCCGGCAGCGCCTGGGACAAGTGGCTTTCCCTAAAAGGATCCATTTAGGGTTTAGGGTTTAGGGTTTAGGGTTTAGGGTTTGGGGTTTAGGAATTGGGGTTTAGGGTTTCGGGTTTCGGGTTTAGGGTTTGGGGTTTGGGGTTTGGGGTTTGGGGGTTTGGGGGTTTGGGGTTTGGGCTTTGGGGTTTGGGGTTTGGGATTTGGGGTACCCATTACAAGGGCTGCACGCTTAAAAAATGGGTTCCCAAACAGGGACCCTATTTTTCAGAACTACCTAAGATATACTTGTGCCTTCCGATGTAGTAGCTTTCGGGCCCAAGTACATAGTTACGACATGGGTACATGGATCCTTTGAGGTTTCGGTTGTTCCGGACGGGGGGTGCCTACAAAAAAAGCAACTTCGCACCCGAAATAAATCAGGCGATAACCATGGCTCCCCTTGTTAAGTAGCCATGAATCTAGTAAGTCCCCTTATGCCCCCCCCCCCCCTTAACCCGAAACCCTAAACCCTAAACCCCAAACCCCAAACCCCAAACCCCAAACGCTACCCGAAACTCCTAAAGATGCGATTCTCCAGGAAGCCAGGACGCTGCTGCGTAGCCCATGCCCGCTCCAAGGCATCGAAGGGCCCGGCGCCTACGAACTCCGAGTCGAGAGGGGGCTGTGTAGGCAGTGCAGAGGTTGAGGTTTAGGGTTTAGGGTTTAGGGTTTAGGGTTTATAGGGTTTAGGGTTTAGGGTTTAGCGTTTAGGGTTTAGGGTCTGGGGTCTAGGGTTTAGGGTTTGTCCTAAAGGCTCCTATGTGCTACCTTCTGAGGGTCCTATGCTAGCAGACCCGATAACTAACCCAAGAAAGCACTGTGTTACAGCCTTCAGGTTGGGCCGTTTATAAGGTCGGAGTTTAGTAGAGGGCTTAGGGCTTTACGGTTGAGCTGCTGACTCCCCAGCTACGCAGTGTCCGCTTGTGAAGAAGGAGGCCTGCACCCCATAAGGTCTCTAAGCAAGAGCTGGATGCTGCTTAAGGGTCCCTCTCCCTTCTCTTGTGTTTGTGATCCTACACATGCACCGCCCTGTCCCCCATAGCCGCTCAACTGTTTCAGTCTTGTGTCTTCAGGACCTGCTGCCTCCATTTGGGTTCAGGGCCGAAAAAGGCTTTCACGGGTTGGCATCGCAGAAGAGTAATGTTAGCTCCTTTAGTAGAAAGGTGAGCTGTAGGCTAAAATCTTTTCCTGACATTCTTCCCTCACTTTCACACAGGAGAACTTTCAGTTATTATGGCGCGCCCCCCTCCCCCACCGGCCCTAAACCCTAAACCCTCAACCCTAAACCCTACACCCTACACCCTAAATCCTGAACCCTGAACCCTAGGGCACGCCCACACTTGTTGAGTCATGCAGCTGGCCGATGCCAGGTGCAGAAACGGGGGTCTTTCCAGCATGGCGCGCTCTCATCCGGCGTCGACACTCAAGTAGGGTTTAGGGTTTAGGGCTTAGGGTTTAGGGTTTAGGGTTTAGGGTTTAGGGTTTAGGGCTTAGGGTTTAGGGCTTAGGGCTTAGGGTTTAGGGGGCCAAATGACCCTAAAATTGGGGTCGCACACCCTGTCTGACGGTATTTGCGATGAAGGTATCATGAACCAGATGCCGTCCCCCAAGGTTCAGAGTTCGTTTGAGGGGGGGGCTTTTGTTCTGAAATGCTTCGGCCTTGCTTTTGAAGTTCTGCGGTAGTATCTGAGATGTGTGGTCCATACCATGGGGGGGGGTTCGTATACAGGGGGACTTTAGGGCTTGGGGGTGTTTTAGAACTTTAGGGTGTTTAGGGTTTAGGGCTTTAGGCTGCACGATGCAAGGTTCATTCCTGGACAACATTTCAAGGTGTTGGTCGGGACTCGTTCCCACAGAGCATTCAGTTTTTTTTGGGCTGAGCCCGAGAGCAACCGTGGCTGCAGCAGGTCAGAAAGCACGAAGCACCATCAAACCAGGCTCTGTGCCGCTCGTCGCTTGTCTGGGTTCACCGCTCACTCCAACCCCATGGGTAGTACTTCCAAAGATTATAAAAGGAAGCCGGTTCCTTTCAAGGGAGCTTATGAACCGGCGTGAGAAGCCCAAACAAAATAAACAAAGAACAAACAACAAAAAAGGGCGCCGTCAGTCGTCAGTGCATGCATCTGAGCCTTAGAGTTTAGAAGGGCTTACCGGCTTACCGTGCGGCAAGCAGCCCTCAGCAGAATAGGCTTCTCTCTCTCTCTCTCTCTCTCCAGTGAGAAAGACAGCAAAGCAAACGGCAGCGCTTCTGCTTACAAAGATTTGAAAGCCTAAAACTAAAGAGGTTGATCCTAGAATTGTGCCAAGCAAGAACTGACCGAAAGCGAGATGTGGCTACCGTGGCGCAAAGGCCACCATACAGTAACACCCTGAAAACACAAAACGTCAAACCCGCCCCCTAAAGACATAAACCTCCTTGTCATCAAGAAGATCCTGGCCAGCGAAGCTTTCACAGCGACTTTTCGAGAAAAAGAGGCGTGCAAGGGAGCCCTTGCGCGAGTCTGAAACTGCAAACGTCTCTCAACTCCCCGACATTTCTGCCCACTTAGCAAGATCCCGAAATCCTGTTGCCTAAACGCTACATTACCCTAAAGCCTCAACCCTAAACCCTGAATAAAGCCCCTTGGACCTGAAGGCGAAGGTGTAAGCTCGCTGCGAGATCGCCTACAACAAAGCTGCCATCTGGAAGACGCAGGGAGAGCCTCCAGAGTGAGATTAGGTTCAAGGTCTAGAGGGTTCACGGAGCTTATGCGGCCCAAGACCGTCAACATCTCAAACCAAACCATAAACCCTAAACTTATAAACCTTAACCCTCTAATTTTCGCAGAAGCCTTTCTCTGAAAGGCCCAGGGAATACAAGCCCCGACCTCCAGTGGCCCCACGCCCTCACACCAATTCAAGCCTCTGGAATTCGAAGCCCTCCTTAATCGGGATTAGAATAGGAGGCCACTATAATCCCTACTGCGGAGATGTTAGTATAAGGGGGAACATCCCAGTCCTAAACCCTAAGCTCTAAGCCCTAAACCCGAAACCCTGTTAAGCATGGGTAGTACAAGGGGGAACATCCCAACCCTTGCCGCAAGGTGGGCCTTATGGCTGGTGAAATCGCGACCTGGCAAGAAATGGGGGTTTACGAAAATGGGGGTACTTTTTTGGGGTCCTTATCTCTAAGGGAATCCTACGATTTGGGGGTCTGTATTAGGGGGTCCCCTATTATCGTAGACCCCCAAGTGGCCAGTCGGCATCACCCACTTCTGTTCAGCCTGCCTGCTGCAGTCTTCGTGGCGTTTCTCTGCAGGCTTCTCTTAGTTGCTGAGTTCATAAGCCCCAACAAAGAGTACACTTTCAGTTCTATAGCAGACTATATATAATCCAAAAAAGTGTCAAGCTCACTCATATCAGCTACACGGTTCTGGAGGTGTGGGGGCTGTCGAGAAAGGTGGTAGAAGGCCTCAAAGGGCATTGAAGGGGTTACAGGGTTTCGGCATTTCCTCCATAGCCTGCAGAACTTTTGAAGCCCTGGAACACAAAATCCAAACCACCTTAAACCCTGCCTCATAGCTCTACAAACGCAGCCCGTGGATTCCAAACCCCATAACCCAAGAAGCTCCTAAGTTCTATGCATAACATTAAGCCGAAAACCAATAACAACAACACTCCCCCTCCCAAATCTCCCGGACCCGTTACTCTGAACTCCTGAGGCCTGGCGCCGAGTAGGACTTCTGCAGGTTTCTACTGGGTTTCACCCTAAACCCCAAGCCCCCAACCCTAAACCTTAGGCCCGAACAAAGCTGCTAGAAGCTTAAAGGCTTGACACCCTGATGTTTATAGGGTTTAGGGTTTAATGTTCAAGGTGTAGGGTTTGTCACAAGCCCACTTTTTCGTCGTCACAGGCGATAGGTCCGCCATGCATCGTGAGCCGCGCGGTGAACCGCCGCATGCCCTGAGGATTGAGAAGGTTTTGGGTTGAGGGTTCTAGGGTTTAGGGTTATAGGGTTTAGGGTTTAGGGTTACACGGTTTAGGATTAAGGGTTGTAGGGCTTAGGGTTGGAAGGTTTAGGGTTCAAGGTTCGGGGTTCTGTTGTCAGGGTCTTGGGGCTTAGCCTCACCTTGCGGGAGTGCGTTCGCCGCATGAGGTTGTTGCTGGGTACTTATATGATACATACATACATACATGCATACATACAGACAGACATACATACATGCATATTGTACATACGTACGTGAGTCTGATCCTCTCATACCCAATAAGGGGGAGAGCACATCTTTTAAAGCACCCTTACTAGCTCAAGTCCTAGACGCGCAAGCACCACAAGAAATCCACCCTCCCTGCGAAATTCGACATGCTCGCTAACAACTCGAAACCTTCTTGACATCAAGCCCTTAATTCAGCTTCTGGGTTTCTGCGGTTTAGGGTTATTGATTATCACCCCAAGCCTAACATCCAGAAAACCCAAGCCCGAACCTTTACACACTCCTTCTGTTGCAGCTGAACCGTCCAGAGCCCAAAATCCAAACGCTCCAACTTTACCTCCAGCTGGGCCAATGAACGGTGGGCGAGATGACGGGCATCGCGGTCATAGCCACCCCCGATGACCTGACGATCTTCAACCGATGTCGGACAGCGAGCTCTGAATGATCATTCTTCCATCCCTTTCTGGACTGCGGAGCTTGTGGGCGTGAAGAAGTCAGATAGCTTTCTGTCTACCTTTTGACCTTAGTTTCGGGTTGCCCTTTGTCAGTGTAAGTTTCATTTCGTAGGGCAACTCGGAACCCCAGAAGGAACTGCTATTGCAGGTCTAGACATGCTTGAGGTGCAAGGTGGAGGTTGGGATCTTCGCGCGTGATGTGGGACTTCGGCAGCTGAGAGCGACCGATCTCTGGTGGTACTGCCCGCTCTGTTCGGTGGAAACTTTCGAAGCCGAATGGAAGATCGAGTCTGTTTCTTCCTTCGCTGTTCGTTCTAGGCAGGAGACTCAGGAGACACCCGACCCAAGAAACGAACTACACGTACATAGTTTCTAAAGCCGCGCGCCAAATAGTTCGGGAAGCCATGACCACGTGGTTCCCGTTCGAAGGGCATGGGGCCGTGTACTTGGGGAATCATGGGTACTTGTAATCCCAATAAGCCTACTTATGACCTACTTAGAGAACTTAGGGGGCTTCTCAGTGCAGTTCTACTTGGGGCTCTAAGTACCCTGAACCCTAAACCCTAAACCCCAAACCCCAAAACCCCAAAAACTCTAAACCCCAAAACCCCAAAACCCCAAAACCCCAAAAAACCCAAAAAACCCAAAAAACCCAAAAAACCCAAAAAACCCAAAACCCCAAAACCCCAAAACCCCAAACCCTAAATGCAAGAGGAGCCGCGCAGGCAATGGGAATGCGCTTGGACACGCAGGCTTGGATCACAAGGTCCTGGCTCCAGGTTGAGGTTCACAACCACATGCAAACTAATTTCGGCCCCTAGGGTTGAGGGTTTAGGGTTAGGGTTTAGGGTTTAGGGTTTAGGGTTTAGGGTTTAGGGTTTAGGGTTTAGGGTTTAGGGTTTAGGGTTTAGGGTTTGTTTGGCACCAGGGTTTAGGGGCCCCCCCGCCATGCCCATCAACAAAAGGCAGAGCATGTATGAACTTGTTGAAGTCGGACGGCCTTCAATGAGTGCCGGGCCAAACTCGAGACCTCCACATCCCTTGCGTTTCGGATCAGCGCTTGATCTTGACTGCACTCTTTACGGTCCCTTCCACATAGAACTTCAACTCAACCAAACTAAAGACGATGTGCAAAACGGTGTACTTCGGGACGGACCTCCTAAACCGGAACCTATAAACCCTAAACCCTTTTGAGCAACAAGCCAGTGCGCAATCCGTCTGGAAGTTAGACACCGGAGGCCTTAAACCCTTTCATTCGACTTTGAACCCTTTTTGCAACAGGCTTGCCAGTCCCGCCCGAAACTTTGAACCTTCGACCCTAAACCCTATCTCCCAAGCAACCTGAAAACCCTAAACCCTTTGTGCACCAGGGCTCTCTCAAGTGCCAGGACCCAACCCTAAACCCTAAACCCTTTCCCTAAACCCTAAACCCTAAAACCAACCCTACACCCTAAACCCTACACCCGACCCAAAACCCTCCGACCTCCAAATTTGAAGACTTGAAGCCTCCCACCCGCCGTTTTCAACAGAAGTCCTCACGCTTCCGGAGGCCCTCCCAGGAAATGCACCTGTGCATGGCCAATCTTAGTTTAGGGTTTAGGGTTTAGGGTTTAGAGTTTAGGGTTTAGGGTTTTGGGTTCAGGGCTCAGGGTTTAGGGGAGGCAATAAAGAAGCCCCGTGGAAGCAATGCACCACTGATTCATCTTGAGGGAGTGTAGATTTTCGTTTGGAGTTTGGGTATTTGCTTGGGAGCTTGGGTTCTGGGGATTTGGGATTGTTTGGAGAGACCCTGCACAACTTCAGTAGTCCAGGGCTTCCGCACCGCTGTGACAGAGAGAGAGAGAGAGAGAGAGAGAGCGAACGAGACCCCTATATACCCTAAACTCTTAGCGCAGCGAGCTAAACCTCGTTGTGGCTGAGGCACAGGTTGCCAAGGTCGTCGTCCTCGTGGACATCCACGCCCGCGTCGTAGAGCACCAAGTCCGGCCGGAAGTCGTCCAGTGTTCCCAACCTCGGCTGGATTTAGGGTTTAGGGTTTAGGGTTTAGGGTTTAGGATTTAGGGTTTAGGGTTTTTTTTCCCACCCGTTTCGCGGGTTTAGGGTTTAGGGTTTAGCGTTTAGGGTTTAAGGTTTAGGGTTTAGGGTTGAGCCTTGGTCTGAAGAGTCTTTCCGTTTTGAGCTGCCTAATGCCTTAGGGGACGACGTGAACCCTGAAAGGTTTCATGGTCAATGGTTCCACAACAATTATAAGAGTATAGTATAGTATCAGATGAGGCATATTCCAGGCATATAAGCCCAAATGTCGGGCTTATTTAGACTTAGTCCCCAAAACAAATACCTTTCACAAAACACAAATCAGGCGTGCCGGCAAGTTGCAGACACTCGGATACTGAGGACAAGAATGCCTCGTCGCCGGTGCCTTTCCTGACGCGGCTTGCAGGGAATCAGTCCATCTGCATTCAACCCTCGGCCATCCTGATCCATCATCTTATGCGAGACCCTATAGTTCCTGGGTTACCTCATAGTTAAGGTGCTACCGAGCGCACCTAAGGACCCCACAATTAAGTACCTGAAAGGATAGGGCTAATGCGTCCCCGGTTCTACAGCTCACCCTAAAGTTTCCCACAAATCGACCACGCCCCATCCATCCAGCCCTGCTTTTTTCTAGACTCAAGAGTAACCTAGGAATGAAAAAGGGTACCCTTTTTTGGTTTATAGTTTTTTTTTGCCGCCTGCCTCGCTGACCTCTCGGACACACTGCAGGGCACTAGTCTGGTACGTGTATAGGGTTTAGAGATTAGGGTTTAGAGGGGCATATAAGGGAACCTAACCCCCATAAAAAAGGGATGCTCCCACAAAGCTGTCGAGAGGCTCCAGCCCGACGTCGAGGTCACTCCTATCCTTGCCCAGGTGGGCCATTCCTTTGAAGCCGAAGGGGAAGTTGTCCTCACAAAGTTGCATTGCAGCGAGAAGTTCTTCAGATAATCTAGGCCCAGCTCTGCATATGCATGTTCCTGAAAAGGATAGAAGCGTATCACCCCTTACAGGTCGGATCAATGAAGGAACAGAGGTCATCAGTTGTCTAAACATCGCCCTATGACCTGCAGAAAGCCCTGAACATCGAGCATGAGCATGTCCCAGCATGGGGTATTATACCCTATACCCCTCCCCCCCCCAAAAAAAAAAAAAACCTTTGTAGGGTTGATTCGGGGGATTGTGGAGCCCTGAAAATAGCCCATGCTGGTCCTTGCAGTGCACGGACAGGGTGAAGGCACGTGCCTCCTGCCGGAGGATCTCCGCCGTGCCGTCGCCCTGGTGCACATCCAAATCCTTGCTTGGCAGGTATCCCTGCGTGCCACTGCGTCCCTAAACCCTAAACCCTAAACCCTAAACCCTAAACCCTAAACCCTAAACCCTATGAACCATATAAACCCTGCAAAACATATATCCTGGCAGCTGGCAGTTCCCCCAAGCTTGAACCTCTGACAAACCACTGTCCGTACTACTTGCCCTTGCAGGCCTTACGGCCTCAGTTTGCCAAGAGTAGGTCCCAGGAAGGATAGGGTAGGTGTGAAGTCAATGCCGGCGGACGTCGCAAATCAGGATGCGGTCCACAGCCCCCTCCTCCAGCAGCACCTTGCTTCGCATCGCGCTGGGCTCTGGGGCCTACTAGCTCCTTATCAGGTTCGGGATTTTGGCCATCCGCCGAGCAGGGTTAGGGTTGAGGACGTGACACGAATTCTAGGGTTCATTTGGTACCCCTAAGGGTCCACGTACCTATATGGTATATACTTGGCCCCTAAAGCTGCTATATGGGAACCCCTTTAAGGCCCAAGTATATACTATATGGTTACATGGACCCTTAGGGTACCCCCCCACCCCGACCACCTGGCTGGTCACTGCCAGGTCGTTGAGCGCCGTGTACCCGCTCCCCCAGGCACGGTGTGCGTGGTGGGTCCTTGGGAGGTGCGTGGGGCTTTCTTTATGGAAATGCGGAAGAGTGGCCAAGGTCAGCGTGTTTCTTCGGTTGGCGAGAGATCGTTCTTGTTAGGTGAAGTGGCGGGTAGTGGCGACAGTTTATAAGCGCAAATCATCCCATATGTGGCTTGCGAATGCTAATCCTTAGGTACTGCGCCACTTGAAGTGCCGGCGCCGGGATGATTGCAATTCAAGCGTCTCGTGAGTCTTATATGCAGCAAGTACCCTATACGGGGTTCTAGCAAGACAACAAGTAGGTCCCTGGAGGTACTTACTGCACTTTCACTAATGCGAGGCGTCCCTAAGCCCAAATCATTACTACTATAATACGGGCCCCAATATTCGGTCATCTTATTATGACCTGTGACTCCCATGCAAACCCTACAAAGTAGTAGGTTATAAACTATACTTAAAATATAGGGCATAACTCCCCCCCCTCCCAAGAAAATAGTAGGTCAATGGAGCCCCAGTGAGAACTGACCACATAAAGGCAAGCATCCCGCCCGCCGTATTGCAAGCCAAGCCAGTCTCCAGGGCGAGCCGGGCAGTGAGCAGCGTGCCGGCAACCTCCAGCCTCTCGGTTTAGGGTTTTGGAACACCTTCGCCCTTATAACCCCTACAGGGTTTCGGGTTTGGGTTAAGGGTTTAGGGCTACTTGAAGGTTCATGGGTACCTATCGTTACCCTTATAATATTGTAACCCTACTTGCAAGTACCCCAATGGCAACATTGGGCCCATGGAGATTTACCGTGAAAAAAGGAGAGACAATACGCAGAACTGCCGGCCTTGGCCCTAAACCCTAAAAACCCTAAAAAACCCTCAAACCCTAAAAACCCAAAAACCCTACACACTCTAAAAACCCTAAAAACCCCTAAAAACCCTAAACTCTAAACCCTCCATGCACATGCACGAATCGCCGCCTCGTCCGCCGAACAAGGGCAGCATGGTCCGGCCGCTGAGTGAACCTTGAGCTCGAGCCACATCTCTAAACATTATTTCATGAACCCTGAACCCTGAACCCTGAAACCTGAACCCTGAACCCTAAACCCTAAACCCTAAACCCTAAACCCTAAACCCTAAACCCTAAACCCTGCCCTATGAACCCTAACAACCCTAACAACCCCAGGAACCCTAGGAATCCTAGGACGAAGGAACTTTAACTATGATCAAACTAGAATACTTGTGAAAACAAAAACCTGTTATACTGTTCTGCTACAGATTTCATGACAGTGTCATTATGTTATTATATGCTATTGTGCAAGTGCAAGTTAAAACAGTTCCCAACACCACTTCTGCGGGTTGAAGAGTCCTTCGCGGGCAAGCTTACTTTGTGTGCAGGTGCCTGGGTGTCAGAACAGGTTCATATACTCGTAGGAGGCAGAGCCACAATGTCTTCTTAACCTACTGTACAGTAAACCCTATAGACCCTAAACCCTAAGCCCGAAACGCTACACCCTAAACCCCCGACTCTGCTCAACGACTGCGATATCATGGAAGAGCTGAAATCGGCCTTCCACCGTTCAGCGCCCTCGTGAATGGCAGCAACAGCTTCTCTACGAGGAAGGCATGGAGTTTAGGGTTTCGGGGCTATATAGGGTTTCTAAGGTTGGGTGTTCGGAATGATCAGATCCGACTGCAGAAGCCGCTTTGGACTTCGCAGGCTTTGGGAAGTTCAGAAAGCACATCAGCCAAGCGAGCTTTGGTGCCGGGATCGAGGTCCGAGCGTTTCCAGCTCCGCAGGTCCACGAAGTGATCCAGTTGCCAGGCGTGTTTCATTACCCCCGAAGGCCGCTTAGGCAGTGCCCATGGAGGATAAAGCAGAAGATGCTTGGGCTTATGTCCAATGAGCCCTCGGAGTTCCAGCTCCGAGCTTGGGAAGATGAAGATGCCCGCCAGTCTAGAGTCATTTTTCAGTATCGACGCAATGAGGACATCGAAGTCTGCAGATTCTGCAGACTTCGATGTCCTCATTGCGTCGTCAGATGCATAAGCGACTTTGCCAAAATGGCCTCCACGCTTCGAAAGCCGCGCAAGATGTTTTTGTCCCCTTGCCTGCCGACGCGTTGCCTTTTCCTGCACCCGCCATTGCTGGCCGTCCCAGTCGAGCACGGAGTCCACAACGGTTCGTGCCAGAAGTGGACGCGTGAGCTGAAGCCCTGCCGCGGCAAAAACTGAAACAAGCTGCGCGTGGGAGCGCTCTTCCACCATGTGGTTTGGGCTGCAGAGCAGAATTGCATCCTGGAATGTGGCATGCGGAAAGCTTTTTTCGTTCTGAAAATACTTCATCAGCGCCGGCCCGAGCTGGTCCACCCGATAGTCCTTGTCTCGCTGAGATCCGAGTCTGATCCAAATGCCCCGTCTCTGGGACACCTCGCTTCCAGGAATCAGCCAAATGATGTCACGGTCCAGGGCTACGAGTACTAGGAGCATGCCATCATAGCCCCCGAAGCACGGCCGCAGTCCTCCCGGCAGCTGGAGGACTTGAGTTGAAGGCACAAGCCTCCGTTGATTGAGCGCCGCGGCTGCAACAGTGCGTCGACGCGCGACTGGGAAGGGACGTGGACAATTTCAAACTCCGACGCCTCTGTAGAACTTAGAAAGCCATCTTGCAAACGGCGAAAAGACTCCGCTGCTTTTTGGTCAAGCTCTGTGAATATCTTCTAAGGCCACGAGAGCGTGACTGACGCAAACTTTCTTCGAAGGATGCTTCCTCCTCCGTGGGGAAGTTCAAGGACTTCTTCAGTCGAACAGGATCATCGCAAAGTGCCCGCAGTTCAGCGTCATAGGCGTGCGCTGCCTCCTCCTCACTTGAGAAAACTCCGACATAATGCTGCTGTCCTTCAAAACGGACACTGGCCTGATACGTCGCTTGCTTCCTATTCCAGCACACACCATTGAACTGGCTCGTAGTCGAGCGTGCCCGACGCAACAACCTCACGCCGCTACTCACCGCGAGGATCCTCGACAGCACGCTGCCGGCGAGGCTGACCTCCTCGCCTTCCTTCAGAGCCCTCCCGCGCACGCCATGGGCGCGCGCGCACAGGGGACGAAGCCATGCAGGGGCGACTCTTGGCGAGACGACTTGCCGCGCAGCGGCGCGGCGAGGGTGGCAAACGCTACTGGGCCATGGCGGCTCTACGACGGGATTCATCGTGCAGCCAGAGGATGTCGGTGTGCCATGAAGTAGCGAAGCTCCGCCAACTTAAACGCGGCGTCAAGCTTTTGAGGGGCTGATGAACTGAAGACTTGCTTGGCACTTTTTTGGAAAATGGGTACGCGTTTGGGGTACTTACTTATAAGGCTTACATACACGTTTGGGGCAAGACTGGAGGTTCACATAACTAGTGGCTGAGCAATGAAAACCAATGTGCAGCGCATCTACAACAGAACTTCAGCCCAACGCTGCCATGATTAATTTGTAACTACCAGCATGAGCCATAAAAACCCTCTAACCCCCCCAAAAAGGCCCTTTACAGGGTTGATTATGGGGATTATAGGGTCGATCGCCCATCCTCGTAACCCTTCAGCCACCGAAGAATATGAGGGAAGGACACGCAAGAACGACCTGACCTCTTTCAAGCCACGGGCACCCAATGCGTCGCCAGCGGACGGGATCCAGCGCATCCTCCACAAAGCCTCTGTAGTACTCCTCCTCGGGGCTGCGCTGCATGCAAGTTGTGTGGTCCCTTCCTCACCCCAAAAGCCTATATAACGCAAACCCTGAAGGTGCAGCGCAAGAGGCACTGCGTGTAAGAAATCATTGGGTTCAAGGGGTAGCAATTACCCGAAATCGGTCAGTCCGCAACTGCTAAAGGACTACTAAGAAATCCTGAAGCCGGAGGCTAGACCCGTGTTTTGAGACTTCGGTCGATTATACTTCGCCCATTCGGCTTGAATATTGGCATCAACGACTCCTAATCTATTGAATTGTATTGTTAGCGTTTTAAATCTCTGAGCTTGCTGCTTGTCCCGCCTTCTCCACAAATTCAGGGGCCAGGCTATGTTAACTCGGGCCCACAGTGCTCAACATGGAATTAGGAAGTCCGAGTCCGGGGACTGGCCTTCGAGCCTGATTTTTCACAAAAGCAAAGCTTGAAGACATCATGAAACAAGTAATTCGCAAAGGCAGGGGACTGGAAAGTGAGCTGGGAACATTACTTTCTCAAGTTTGTGGGATCCGACACCATGAGATCGCGGGCGCCCTGACGGACCTGACATGCAACATTGCTCGGAGCTTGCCAAGCACTGCCGTCACCATATCAGCGAAACTCATCATTGAGCCCGCGCTGATCCTCTCGGTACGCATGTGCGCTCTTCACCCGCACTTGCTCCAACCTAAGCCCTCTCTGCATCCCTTTACCTAGGGGCTCTCAAATAGGCTCTCAAACGCCGGGTCCTCATGCGCCAAAAGGAACCACTCGTCGGGGGGATCCGCGGGCTTGACGAAGTCCGACATGGACCTGGGGAGCAAAAACAGGAGTACAATGCCACTTGCTTGAAGGCGGGCCTCGCCCCAAGATTGAAATCCCTGCAAACCCTATAAACCCTAAAAGCCTATAAACCCTACACACCCTAAACCCAAATATTGAAACCCTATATAAAACCGAAATAACTGCGTATAAGATGTGGCAAAGGTTTGTATGGGCTTCCGATCTCAGGATTTCCCGGCC